ATCAGTGGAAAGAGGATCTATTCATTCAACCCAACTGAACTTGAGTTAAATTTATAACATTTTAAGCCTTTTACCGAAGCCATCCAAATTTGAATGACTTGAATGTAGATGGCATGTGCCAGCCAACCTAGTCTGATTCTCGAAACTTGGCCCAAGCATTTTCTTTTCCTTTTAAATTAATTTTATTTGAAAGGTAACAAACACAGATAACAACTTTGTGCAGAAGGCATGCTTGATGGTATTTTTTTCTTTGCTTGCATGTTTACATTCTCCTTTATACTACCCAAACTGATACATCTCAAGCCATAATGACCTGTCATTGCTGATTTGGTGCTAATGCCATGGTTTTTCTGTTTGAAAATAGATACTTTTAGCTGCTGAATGGAAACTGTTGTGCTTAATCTAACAATACTCTCTACCTTGCAGAGCCGGACGGACACATCGCTCTCGGAGTCCTAGAAGAAGATTCTAACTTGATCTCTATTTATGAAGGTGAATTTGTAACGAGAGATTTGAAATTTGGTGTTTGAAATTTACTGAGCTATGAAGTTTTATTTGTCTACAATGGTGTATGCATCAATCCTTTTTTTTTTATACGGTGCCGAGTGGTGAATGGTGCTTGTGCTTTAGTCTTCAGTCGCAGCTTTTTGTCTCTTATTTGTGATCATCGTTTCATTTGGCTCATATATCTAAGTCACAATGCTTGAAGCAAGGAATGAAAGAATAAAGGTGAGAAATGCTAAACACAAAATAAAATATTCGTCAGCACAGGTATCAAGTATGGCAGTCAAGAGTAAGAAAGTAATTCGCATTTTTGAAAAACTTAAAACTTTGACAGCAATTGATGCGATGATTAATGTAAATGCATATGAATCTCTACCCCAAGGCAAAGATGATAGACTGTTGAAAATATAGAAGAATTGGTAATACAAATGAGTCGCAAAACAAGCATTCAACCCGAGAGAGTATTGTGAACTGATTTTCGAAGCATTAAAAGATGGCTACTTTGAACGTGATCGGCGTGCATGGTGAAACTGGCATTGAGAAGACTGCCCTCATCAATCGAGTAGCTAAATTGGCTAAGGCAGTCAAGGTGTTCGATTGGGTGGCTCTTGCAGATGTTGAGAACAGTCAGAGAGATTGCAGAGTGTATTGGTCTCAAATTTCAAGAGGACACAGCAGCTGCAAGAGCACTACAGGCTAAGCCCCACACCGGGGAAAGAGAAAAACGTTCTAGTGATTTTGGATAATATTTGGACGAGTTTAAAGCTGGAAGAAGTTGGAATCCCTTTTGGAGATCATCAGCATAGTGGGTGCAAGATTCAGGTATCATCAAGAGATCCCGGTGTCTTATTCGAAATGAATGCCGATAAATCTTTCCCTGTTCATGTTTTAAATGGAGAAGTCTGGAATCTGTACTAATATATAGTGAAATTAACAATTATTCTTTTAAACAAGTGAATGAATTTAATACTTATTAAGATAAGAATAAACTCATGACTAACTTAATTCCTCCATTGGAATTCTCGATAAATCATAATGCATGAAGCAAAGAATGACAGAATAAAGTCTAGACATACTAAATACAAAATAAAATATTCGTCAGCCCAGGTATCAAGTAAGATTGTCAAGAGCTAGAGAAGAATTTGCATTTTTTAAAAATTTACAAAATAATGCGACGACTAAAGTAAAAGCAAGGAAATTTCTCCCCCAAAAGCAAAGATGATCGACTGTAAGAAAAGAACAATGGTAGCTTTAAAGTTACCGCAATTCTATTCTATATATATCTTGTTGCCTAATTAGTAGTTTGGGGCATCGCCCACAACATTATCTGCTACCGTTTTGCTTTCTGACATTGTCATTCGTTTTCCTTTCCATTTATTTGCTTTCTCACATTGTTTCTACGGGTTTTTTTCTCAAAAGTTATTTGTAGTCACTGAAAGAGTGGGGGATGGAGGTTGTTCCTGCTAATGTAGCTTTGAACGCTGTTCATGCTATCATCACACCCCCCAAACGTGAAATTAGTTTCATCTTTTCCTACAAGAGAAAGACTGAGAACCGTGACCTTAAATTTAAGAGGCTGAAAATGGTATGGGAGAGAGTGCTATATGCTGTGGATTTTGCTGACAGAAACGGAGAAGAAATCTTACAGGATATGAGATAGTGGCAGAAACAAGCAGGATCTATGGTTGAGGAGCTCCCGGAGATAGTGGCATACGAGGAAATGTACAAGAGATTAGACACCAAGGAAGGACAAAACGACATCTTCAGGCTTGCAAAATCTAGGGAGAATAGGAAAAAGGATCTAGGTAGCATTAGGTTTATTAAGGACAACAATGGTGTTCTTTTAGCGAAAGATCATGATATTATGAGGGTTTGGGGTAGTTACTTCTTTGACTTATTTAATGATGGTGCCTCTACATGTAGAGATAGTACCGTTGATGGGTCAGCCGACCATACTACGGCCAATGACTGCCCTACAAGTAGGATTGGGCTTGAGGAAGTCAAAATGACTCTTAGAAAGATGGGAAGGGACAAAGCTGTCGGTCCTGATCAAATTCCTATCACTGTGTGGTTGGCCCTAGGAGAAGAGGGAGTTAAGTGGTTGACCAACATCTTTAATATTATTTTAGAGACTGCCAAGATGCCAGAGGAGTGGAGAGAGTCTACGGTGATACCAATCTATAAGAATAAAGGAGATCCCCAACGTTGTGGTAACTACAGAGGTATTAAACTACTCAGCCATTCCATGAAGCTATGGGAAAGGGTGATAGAGGCTAGGTTGAGACAAGTTACTAGGGTTTCGGAAAACCAATTTGGCTTCATGCCAGGTAGGTCTACCACGGAGGCGATTCATCTACTTCGACGGCTTATGGAGAAATATAGGGAAAAGGCTAGAGATCTTCACATGGCGTTCATTGACCTTGAGAAGGCTTATGATAGCGTTCCCCGTGATACGATCTGGAAGACTTTGGAAACGAGACGGATCCCAACTGCTTATATCCGGGCAATTCGTGATATGTATTGTAGATCTACTACATACGTCAGGACTACAGTTGGCGACACCGAGGCTTTCCCGGTGGAAATCGGACTCCACCAGGGGTCGGCTCTTAGCCCATACATCTTCGCCTTGATTATGGACGACATCTTTTGTGCGACACCAGATGGTGTTCCATGGTGTATGCTTTTCGCTGACGACATTGTCCTAGTTGCTGAAACAAAATCTGAGTTGAATAGTAGACTGGCTACCTGGAAGACTGCTTTGGAAGAAAAAGGTCTAAGGATCAATATTGAAAAGACAGAGTATTTATGCTCAAACTTCAGTGGTGTCCAAAATGATGAAGATGTAGAAGTATGCTTAGAAGGACACGTTCTTCCCTCAAAGGATTGTTTCAAGTACCTAGGGTCTATGATACATAAAGATGGGGGTGTAGATGATGACGTTACACACCGTATAAAGGCGGGATGGCTAAAGTGGAGGGCCGCAACTGGAGTTTTGTCTGACAAGAAGGTGCCTCTAAAACTTAAGGGAAATTTTTATAAAATGGCAATAAGACCAGCGATGTTGTATGGATCAGAATGTTGGGCAACTAAGAATGATCACGTAAGGAGGATAGAGGCCACAGAAATGAGAATGCTTCGATGGACATGCGGTAGGACTTTGTGGGATATGACAACAAACTCTGCAATTAGGATGTCCTTGGGGGTGGTGCCTGTTTCTGAAAAATTGAGGGAGTGAAGACTACGGTGGTTTGGGCATGTCCTTAGGCGACTACCGTCGGATGCGGTCAGGAGGGTAGAGTCGATTACAGTCGACGGTGTTAGAAGGAGAGGACGACCAAGGCAGAAGTGAGAAGACTGCTTGAGATCTGATATGATGGATTTAGCCCTTTCCGAGGACATGACCTCTGATAGGAAAGTATGGAGACTTAAGACTAGGGTAGTCGAGTAGTGTGGGTCACATCTTTAGGGTGTAACATCTCTGTCTTCTTATATTACCTTTGTAGTAATTTTCATGACTTCTACTTTTTATACGTTTCTGTTATTGGTATTTATGAAGGCTTAGAACTGGGCTTGCTACCGTTGACTTCTGTGTATCATTCTCTTCACTTTTAAATTTAGTCGGGTCTTACTTTTCTATCTATATGCATAGATCTTTTCGCAGGGATTTATTTGCAGGGATTACTTCCCATTATAGACGCACATACGTTATTAATGATTGCATATGAATACTGTTCAATTATGTATTTATGTATTTAGTTATACATGCATTGCATTTTATCTATATTTTTATTTTTCTGACTGCCGGAGGTCTTCCACGAAAGCTACTCTCAACCTGGCGTTGGGGGCAGCCTACTACTCTACCTCCCCCTTACCCCATTGCATATGGGAATTGGGTTTTGTTGTTGTTGTTGTTGTTGTTACTTCCTCAGCAAGAAAGCAGATGAGGATGCACGTGTCCTTGATAAGCTTCTAGATCTTCATAGTGCATTCGAAGACAATGTTTCTCACCCTTATTATCCACAGGTGAGATGGGTCACACCATCAGAGAGTTACGTAGCCTTCGATTCAAGAGAGTCTATTTTGAATCTGATTTTAGGGGTATTCAAAGATGATACTTTGAAGCTAATCGGCGTGCATGGTGAAGCTGGCGTTGGGAAGACAACACTCATCAATCGAGTGGCTAAAATGGCTAAGGCAGTCAAGGTGTTTGATTGGGTGGCTCTTGCAGATGTAACCCAGACACCAGATGTTACGAACATTCAAAGAGAGATTGCAGAGTGTATTGGTCTCAAACTCTCAATTTTCAAGAGGACACAGCAACTGCAAGAGCATACAGGCTAAACACTACACTGGGGAAGGAGAAAAACGTTTTGGTGATTTTGGATAATATTTGGACGAGTTTAAAGCTGGAAGAAGTTGGAATCACGTTTGGAGGTCATCAGCATAGTAGGTGCAAGATACTGGTATCATAAAGAGATCCTGGTGTCTTACTCGAAATGAATGCTGATAAAGCCTTCTCAGTTCATGTTTTAAAAGAAGGAAAAGCTTGGAATCTGTTCAAGAAAATTGTAGGCGATCGTGTTAATGCCGACAGCGTCCAATCCACAACTATTGATGCGTGTAGGTCCTGTAGGACATTCCAGGGATTGCCACTCGCCATCGTAACAACCGCAAATGACTTGAAGAAGATGCCTTCGAATGGGAAACTGCTTCAAAACATCTAACAAGTCCTTCCTCGGCAGTAGAGTTGAGTTTTAATCATTTGGCAAATGATGAACTTAAATCTACTTTCCAGATTTGTAGTTTTATGCCATACAATGCTACCATTTTCGACTTGCTGAAATATGGTAGGGCCTTCGGTTTGCTGCGAGGAATCAAATCAACAGAAGACGCACGACAGAAACTACACAGACTGATACAACACCTCAAATCCTCATGTTTATCATTTGATGGTCGTACGCCTGAGGAGTTTGGGTTGAATGACGTCATTCGCAATGTTGCTGCATCAATAGAATCCAAGAGAGGGGGAATTTTGTTGGTGAGAAACAAGATCGGACCAAGAGAGTTGCCGAATGCGGAATGCTAAGAAACTACACTGCGATCTCGCTGTTTTACAATGATTTCATTAGACTTCCTGATCGGCTCGAATGTCCACAGCTTAAAGCTTTTCAACTTTACAACAAGAATCCTGCTTTGAGAATCTCTGATCAGTTTTTCTCAAAGATGAAAGAATTGAAAGTCTTGGATGTGAAAGGAATGCAGCATTTGTCGGTGCTGCCTTCTTCACTTGGCTTGTTGCAAGACCTTCAGACATTATGTTTGGAGTCGTGCTTGTTGCGACAAATAGAAATGGTTGAAAAGATGAAGAAACTAGAAATCCTTAGCTTCTACGATTCCTTCATAGAAGAGTTGCCTGAAGAAATCAGGCAATTGAAACAGTTGAAAGTGTTAAACTTGGATTATTGCTCCCAACTGAGCGTGATTCCCCCAAATGTAATATCTGTTGGGGAATAAACCAAGTACAAGCAATTTCCTTATAACCAGATTAGTGAGAATGCAAAATAAAAGCGGAAAAATAATACCCGAAATTGATAACGGAGTTCAGCCAATTGTGCTTACGTCTCCGGACTGCTGCAGATCTTTTACTAAGAGAGAAAATTTACAGGTGTTTACAAAATACTCACTACTCACAAGAAAACTCTCTAGTATTGGGAGAAAGAAATGATTTTTGGGATGGTTTTGAAGCTAAATGAGCTAGGGTATTTATAGTTGAAACTTAAGGACTTAATCTTGTAAATACCCTAAAACCTAGGAATTAATTGTGATTATCCCATTATCATTTTTCAACAAACATCTACCAAACTTTGAAAAACTATTTTTCAAAGAAACATTTACCAAACTTTGAAAACCATTTTTTCAAAAGTTGGTTACCAAACTTGAAAACCATTTTAATACTTTCAACAATCTCCCACTTGAAGACTGATTTTAATCTGTCTTCACACCTCGATCAATGCAACAGCTTTTCTAGTCTTGTTACTCTAGCATGCCAACTGAAGTTGAACACAACTTCAGTTTGTCTGTAGTCACCGTCTTTGTCAACATATCTGTCGGATTTTGAGCTCCACTGATCTTTTCAAGTTTTAAAATCTCATCTTCCAGAAGAGACCGGATAAAATGATATCGTAATTGTATTTGCTTTGCCCTGGAATGAAAAGACGGATTCTTTGCTAGATGTATAGCACTTTGACTGTCGTAATACAAGACATTGTTTTCTTGTTTCTTGCCTAACTCTTCCAAGAAACTTTGGAGCCAAACCATCTCCTTGCTAGCTTCCGTAACAACGACATATTCTGCTTCAGTTGTAGAGAGAGCAACTATCTTCTGTAGTTGAGAAACCCAACTCACTGCGGTTCCTCCTAGAGTATAGACATACCCTGTAGTGCTCCTTCTGATATCAACATTTCCGGCTAAGTCAGCATCTGCATAGCCTATCAGTATCGTATCTCCACCTTTGAAATAAAGTGCTTTGTTTGTGGTACCCCACAGATATCTTAGGATCCATTTGACTGCTTCCCAGTGTACCTTGCCCGGATTATTCATGTACCTGCTAACAGCTCCCACTGCTTGAGCAATATCTGGTCTGGTACAAACCATGACATACATCAGACTTCTAATCGCTGAGGCGTATGGCACCTTCACCATGTGTGCACGTTCTTCCTCCGTCTTTGGTGACTGTTCTTGGAGTATGAATGAACACCTAAAGGTGTTACTGGTTTAGCATCTGCATGTTGAACCTGGAGAGTACTTTGTTGATGTACTCAGCCTGTGATAATATCAAAGTCCTGATAATCTATGATCCTCAGATCCAAACCTGACTTTGCTGCTTTGTCAGCTGCCCATGATCGTCATAGCAAACTCTTTGACAATTTTTGCTTCAGTTTATAATTCTTGCATGTCTGAGCTTGTTTTAAACCATACAAGCTCTTCTTCAACCTGCATACCAGGTTTTTCTTGTCTGCCTCTATGAAGCCTTCTGGCTGCCTCATATAGATTTTTCCTCCAAATCACCATGAAGGAAAACTGTCTTTACATATAACTGCTCAAGATGTAAATTCTCTGCAGCTACAATTTTCAACACCAGTCTGATTGTAGACAGTTTCACGACTGGAGAGAAAATTTCATGTAGTCAATACCTTCTTTTTGCTGAAAACCTTTGACAACCAATCTCGCTTTGTAGCGTTTGCTCCCATCGTGCTCTTCTTTGATCCTGTAAATCCACTTGTTGTGAAACGCTTTCTTGCCTGGTGGTAATTCAGCTAATTCCCACGTCTGATTTGACAAAAGCGAGTCCATCTCATCTTTCATGGAAGACTCCCACTTGATTGAATCCTCCACTTGCATTGCTTCATCATAGCACTCTGGTTCACCATTGTCAGTCAGCAACAAGTAGTGCAAAGAAGGAGAATACCGTTGGGTTGGTTTAGGAATTCTGGAGGAGCGTCTTAGTTCCGGTGTGCATGGTTCTTCTTGAACTACTTCAGGACTAATCTGAACATCATTTCCAGAAATCTCCTCAAACTCAGCAAATTCCTTTGTTTTAGATTTGGTATTGGAGCTGCTTGATTCTACAGTTGACTTGTCTTTGTACATCACATTCTCATTGAAAATGACATCTCTGCTTCTAATGATCTTCCGATTTTCATAGTCCCAAAACCGGTAACCGAACTCATCACCGCCGTAACCAACAAAGGAACATTTATTGGACTTAGCATCAAGTTTACTTCTTTCAGCAGAGTCTATGTGTACATAAGAAATACAACCAAACACTCTTAAGTGTGAAAGGTTTATTTCTTTCTTGCTCCAAACTTCCTCTGGTATTCTGCCATCCAAAGGAACTGAGGGCCCACGGTTGATCAAGTAAGCTGCAGTGTTGATAGCTTCAGCCCATACAAATTTGGGCAATTCGGCATGTATCTTCATGCTTCTGGCACGTTCATTCAGAGTTCTGTTCATGCGTTCTGCTACGCCATTCTGCTGCGGTGTCATGGGAACTGTTGTCTCCATCTTGATCCCATTGTTTGCGCAAAAATCTCTGAATCTCCTATTTCTGTACTCTCCTCCATTGTCAGACCTCAACCACTTGACTTGCATACCAGTCTCGTTTTCCACCATGGCCTTCCATTTTCTGAAGGTATCAAAGACTTCTGATTTTTTTTTCAGAAAATAAACCCACACCTTCCTTGTAGAATAATCGATGAAGGTGACATAATATAATGAGCCTGCAAGAGATGGAACTGGAGATGGTCCCCATACATCAGTATGAACTAACTCTAACTTTTCAGCCTTAGGTGTCTTACCAATATTTGCAAAGCTGACTTTCTTTTGTTTGCCAAAGATGCAATCCTCGCATAGTCCGACATCTACATTCTTTAGATCCGGCAGCTTCCCTTTTGACAGAAGTATCTTCATTCCTTTCTCGCTCATATGGCCAAGCCTTTGGTGCCATATGTTTGATTTTCCATCAGCATCAGCTACTACAATGATATTCTCTAAATTTGAGGTTACATAGAGAGTACCAGTCTTCTTACCACGAGCAATGACGAGTGCTCCTTTGGTAATCTTCCATTCACAACCTGAAAAGGTTGTACTGTATCCTTCTCCATCAAGCTGTCCTACAAAAATCAAATTTCTTTTGAGACCAGGAATATGTCTCACTCATGTCAGCTTCCAGGTGGTCTGGTTTGGCAGCTTTAGTCGGATGTCTCATTTTTCGACGATCTTCAAGGTTTCATCATCAGCAAGATGAACCTTCCCAAAATCACCACTGACATATTTCTCCATGATTTCTTGGCATGGCGTGGAGTGGAAAGATGCCCCTGAATCCAAAATCCATGATTCAATCGGACTGTTGACGCTTAAAATCATGGCATCACCTGTCTCCTCCGTCATGTTGGCAGATTCCTGTGCGTCGGTATTTTTCTTCGGTGCTCGGTAATCTCTTTTGAAGTGGCCCTTCTTGCCGCAATTATAACATGTAAAATCTTTATTTCCTGTTCTTTATTTTCTTCTTCTGAATTTCGATCTGCCACGATTTGAATTTCTTTCTGAAGTTCTCCCTCTGGACTCCGTGTGCAAGGCTGAGGAGGTTGATGCTGCACCCGATTCTCTCTGTCGAATTTCTTCGCTCAGTACCAGATCCCGAACATCGTCGAATTTTAATTTGCTGTTTCCCGACGAACTGCTGACTGCTGTAACAGTAGCATTCCAACTGTCTGGTAAAGATGATAAGAGAATTAAAGCTCGAACTTCATCATCAAATTCAATTTCCACTGAACTCAACTGGGTTGTGATTGTGTTGAGTTCATTTAGGTGTTGTGCCACCGATGCCCCTTCCGTCATCTGCAAATTGAATAATCGCCTCATCAAATGAACTTTATTTGAGGCCGATGGCTTCTCATACATATTGGAGAGAGCCGTCATAAGACCCGCCGTGGTCTTTTCCTTTGCTATGTTGAAAGCAATATTGCGGGATAACGTCAGTCGGATAACTCCGAGGGCTTGTCTATCGAGAAGAGCTCAGTCTTCATTCTTCATGCCCTCTGGTTGTTTTCCTGAGAGGGGGTTGATATAGATTTTTCTGGTATAGAAAATCTTCAATTTGCATCTTCCAAAATCCAAAGTCCGCACCATCGAACTTTTCAATTTTCACATTCCCTTCGTCTGCAACCATCGCTCCCACTCGAACCTGGCTTCTTTTGGATCGTTTCTGACAATTTTTACAAACCGCCGTGTATTAGAACACCTCCGTCGACAAACTCGTATCGTCGACCGAATTTCACTATTCACGAAATTCACTATTCACGTGAATAGTAACCTAAATAGTAACCTCGCAAAAAATTGACAAAATTCACAACCCAAAAGCTCTGATACCAGTTGTTGGGAAATAAACCAAGTACAAGTAATTTCCCTATAACCAGATTAGTGAGAATGCAAAATAAAAGCGGAAAAATAATACCCGAAATTGATAACGGAGTTCAGCCAATTGTGCTTACGTCTCCGGACTGCTGCAGATCTTTTACTAAGAGAGAAAATTTACAGGTGTTTACAAAACACTCACTACTCACAAGAAAACTCTCTAGTATTGGGAGAAAGAAATGATTTTTGGAATGGTTTTGAAGCTAAGTGAGCTAGGGTATTTATAGTTGAAACTTAAGGACTTAATCTTGTAAATACGCTAAAACCTAGGGATTAATTGTGATTATCCCATTATCATTTTTCAACAAACATCTACCAAACTTTGAAAAACTATTTTTCAAAGAAACATTTACCAAACTTTGAAAACCATTTTTTCAAAGTTGGTTACCAAACTTGAAAACCATTTTAATACTTTCAACAATATCAAAGTTGTCTCAACCGGAAGAACAACTTATCGGTAACAGTTTTGCTCAATGGGAGGATGGACAAGGAGCAGGACGCCATGCTAGCCTCCGTGAGTTGAAGCAGTTGTCTGATTTAACCAGTTTAAACTTGCATGTCCTTGATTATCGTAACATGCCGAAGCGAGTTTTCTCTGAGAAGCTGCAAAGATATAAGATACTGATAGGAAACATGTGGGATTGGTCGGATAAGCATGAAGCCTCAAGAACATCTGTATCTTGACGAACTAAGGGCATTGGAGATTTCTTATGTGATCTCGGTGAGAGTAGTACAGGCTTTCCACAACTGAAGTATCTCTATATCCAAAATGGTTTGGACACGAAGCACACATTAACTTGGTTGAGGAGGTTACTCTTGTTTCCTTTCCTGTCCTGGAGTCATATCTTCAGAAGTCGATTAACTTGGAGAAGATATGTAATGCACAGCTCAAAAGGCAACCCTTCGCAAAGTTAAGAGAGATAAACGTGGGAAGTCGCTATCGATTGAAGAATTTGTTTTCATTCTCCATTGCCAGAGGTCTGCAACAACTTCAAGAAGTTCAAGTGGTGGATTGCAAAACATGGTAGAAATCATTACTGAGGGAAGAGGAAGTGATGTTGATGAAAATGAAGCAACAACCATAGTTGAATTTGAGCAATTGCGATCTTTGAAACTGCAACAATTACTGAGGCTGACCAGTTTCAATGCAAGCAGTACCACCGTAGCCCTTTCCAATGAAAGGGTATTACTTCTATCATTTTCTATTTATTTCAGATAGTAGTTAAGAACAAACGGGAAGTCGCTATCGATTGAAGAATTTGTTTTCATTCTCCATTGCCAGAGGTCTGCAACAACTTCAAGAAGTTCAAGTGGTGGATTGCAAAACATGGTAGAAATCATTACTGAGGGAAGAGGAAGTGATGTTGATGAAAATGAAGCAACAACCATAGTTGAATTTGAGCAATTGCGATCTTTGAAACTGCAACAATTACTGAGGCTGACCAGTTTCAATGCAAGCAGTACCACCGTAGCCCTTTCCAATGAAAGGGTATTACTTCTATCATTTTCTATTTATTTCAGATAGTAGTTAAGAACAGAATCCAAGATCATTGCTATGTGTCATGCACATGCTATCATATCATAGATATAGAAATAGAGAGGCACACGTGCACATGCGCACATATATATATATATATAGATTTGAAAGGATATATATTCTACTAATGTAAACTAAAGAAGGGGTTTTAGTTTCTTATTTCAGGTTACATTTCCTAAGTTACAAAAATTGAATTTGTCCTCTATTAGCGCATCACGGATATGGCAGGAGCAGCCATTTTCAGTGCCTACTTGAGTTCAAAATTTAACCAGCATCACAGCGGAGGGTTGTGGTAATCTGAAATTTCTATTATCATCCTCTATGGTGGAAAGTTTAGAGCAACTGATCCGTATGGAAATAAGTGACTACAAGCTACTCGAGGGAATCATTGAAGAAGTGACAACGGAGGAAAGAATGGAGAATATATTGCTCCCGAAACTTAACTCCTTAAAAGGCCTTCCAAAGCTGACCAGATTTTGCTCAGCAAAAGCAGTCGAGTTTCGTCTTTGAAACAATTGCAGATAGACCATTGTTCTAAACTAGGGACATTTATCTCCAACTTAGAGAAGAACGAAATTCAACCTCTTCAACAAAAATGTGAGCTATTTATTTGTTTTCCGCTTTCTGTTGCTATTTTTGCAAATGCACATCAAGTGATGAATTGTATGTCAAATGATTCGTCATTGTAATCAATCATGCAGGTAGCATGTCCTAGCTTGGAGAAGATGGTAATCTCCAACTTGAGAAACTTGAAAATGTTTTGGAATGATTAATTACCTGAGAATTCCTTCTGTGAACATAAAACAATGGAAGTTGAGTACTGTTCACAGCTACAGACAGTGTTTCCATTTAATATGGTTGAAAGATTTCAAAGGTTGCAGTCCCTGACCATAAAGGGTTGTGCTTCACTGGAAGAAGTTGTCAATTTGCAAAGGCTCAATGTCGAATAAAATGAAGCTGAGGTAGCAATCCGTTGAAGAAACTCTACATATATGACTTACCAAATTTGAAACATGTGCTGAGTAAGGATCCCCAAGAAATGATCACTTTCAAGAATCTGACATTTGTATATGCGTTCGGATGCGAGTCTGAAAAACCTCTTTCTGGCCTTCAGCAACTTAAAAGTGTTGATATAGACACTTGTGGGTTGGAACATATTGTTGCAATGGATGAAATTCCTCAAGCAAGAAACTGAATTTGTTTTCCCTAAACTTGCCTTTCTGTGACTTTGGAAGCTCATAAAACTCAAAAGTCTCTATCCCAGAATTCATTCAACCAAATGGCCTGCGTTGAAGAGAATATTGACCTACCATTGTGGTGATATGAATATATTTAGTTCAGAACTTCTCAGAAATAAGCGGATGAAGAGTGTTTCTCAGCCGCTCTTTTTGATAGAAAATGTAACATATACGTACGCGATAACTCCGTAAAAAGAGTATATTTTAATTCTTTTTACTTAATTTATTGATTGTCTAAAAATCATTGACAAAGCATTTTAGCTGCATCTAGTTGCATTTAGTACATATTTGCATGTGGTGGATAAATTTTGACGAGACAGTTTATTTGACTAAACTGATGATGCTGTGGAGAAGGGTTGTTTGTTGGTTGTGATGATGCAAGAAATAACTGAGGAAGAATTTATTTGCCGAGACAAATTAATTTGCTAGGGCTAATGGAACAGAAGACGACTACAGTGAAGAACAAATTTTCTTGCCAAGGCGAGTTTTTATCTCACAAGTCTAACACAACACAAGACGGAACTGCTAACGTCACTTGGCCAGCTGTCCAATACACCTCACGTGAAACCGTATCCCAGTTAAGGAATTTGGGACCACTACCAGCTTTCATATTATTCACACAATGGGCATGAAACCAATGGTATTTAGAGAATTTCCAAGGACACTAAACCCTAGAAATTCCAACTATGAATATCTCATTATACCACCCTAAATGAGAGAAAATACCCTAAAAGTGATGCTTGGAGAAAGACGACTGCAGAACATCCTTTTTCACCGTCCCCCACTCGACTATCATTGGTGTTCTCCATAGCCAGGCTTCGCTGGAGCAGCGGCCATGTCCTCGAGAGGGGATGGTTTCTGGAACAATCATGGTGGTGGTATGATGTTACGGTAGAGCTCTGTTCTGAGAGTTTTTTTCCTCTTGTTCTTCATTTCCATATCATTTAAGGGTTTGTATGTAAAGATTATTTTTGGGATGATGTTTGTCACAACATAAACTGTTTTATTTAGTGTTGGAAATGCTTGAATGATATTTTATTCAATTGTTAATGAATGATTAAGTATATTTTTGCTGAATGTTGTTTTGTTTACTATTTTAATATTTTGTCTTGGCACTCTAAGAGCTTTTGAAAGATTTCCTGGTGCCACGGCAAAACATTCCTAGTATTTGTAAGAGCTTTTGAAAGATTATTATTTTTCTAGGAGTTGATACATAATATTCGAAAGAGGTAGGTTAGAACTACGTGAACAAGGGAACTAATCCGGGATGGTGAGGTTCTAATCAGCCTTTGAGATAAGGAGAGAGTTTTATTCGACTAAGAAGGGTAAATGCTTGAGTAGATAGGCTAGAGTTATAGTTTACGCTGAGAGGTATTATCGCAGCAACAATTTGACAAACCAATGGTTGCAGTTCACGCTGGGTAGTCTTGTCGTAGCAAAAGTTCTAGGAACACTCTAGTAAATCTTGTTGGGCTGCATAGACATAGCATACTAAATCATCATAGACATAGAATAATTTATTACCGTAACGAATCCAACCCAAGTGCTCCGTTAGAGGTCTGATTGTGTGAGGTTTTTCAGAATATATTGAACTAAACATTTTTCTTTGTGTTGACAACTTTTATTTGTTTAACTTTGCATATTTTTCTCGCCACGACAAAACTTTTCTACTCACTTCACTTTACAATTTTTCTTGCATCGACCATACCTTTTTTCATATGTTTGTTACTACTTGTTTTTCCTTTGTGAATACCATTAGACAATAATTTTAGGACTAGTTAGTGACACCTAGTTCTAACTATAGCAATCATAAAAATTCTCATTGATCCTTGTGAAGACGATAACTCACTACTACTATATTACTTGTTTCAATTGTGTATTGTTAGGTATGTCTCATAAATATACTAGTAAAGAGAAAAATCTCGTAATGGGGGTTACGATTATGTGGGTTGGGGTGCGGAGTTGTGCCCTGTGGTACGGTATAGAGTTATTTTTGTAAATATATATCAGGGTTTATTTATTATAAAAGGAGATGTAACATAAACCTATGAGACATTGAATTGAATAAAAATTCTAGCGCCGCCTAGGGCACCAAGGACGTAAGCTCATTGCTGAACCTCGTTAAAATTCTTGTGTTATTTCGTTTTCTTTATCCAATTATTCAACAACTGATATCAGATGTCAGGAACCAAATTCGAAGTTGTGAAATTCGATGGTCATGGTAACTTCGGATTATGGCAAACAAGGGTGAAAGATCTGTTGGCGCTGTAACACCCTCAACCCGTATACGACTCGAATACGAGTTTGAGGTGTCACATTGACTTTTCAAACTTTGACTCTTGACAAAAATTCAAGGAAAAATTTAAAATTTTCATTAAAATAAAAACTGTGTATTTACATAAATTGACCAAAATCGATCAGAGCATATTCAGCTCAATCAATTAGTACATGCCAACTATATTCAGATTAACCATACACATTTAAATCATCTATTTTCTGATATGAAACTTTGTAAGGAAAATGCTGACCTGTCTTGCTCCTCTTAGCTCTTTACTCTTCTCACTTCTGTAACCTACGTGTAAAACAATCACACGCTAAGTCGTTGACTTAGTGAAGCATAAAACATATAATAAAACTCTAACTCGTAATCATGCTTGAACAATTTCTACTAACATATCACATACAAGCATCATACTCACATATATATGTAATAATTCCTACTATGCACCTTTCATATATATATATATATATATATATATATATATATATATATATATATAGATATATATATATATACATATACATATACACGCATACATATAATTATCTTCTTTCCTATCATTATCATATTATCACCTTTCATATTTCTATTCTCTTGTTTATATGATCAATTAAGCTCATATCATATATCTTATAGCATATACAATAATCACTAACACAAATGTATCATACACAGTACATTCCATGTTATCTCTTATTAGCCTATGTGCACCTGTGAGAACTGTAGATATGTGAGTCTATTGAGGTTGTGCACCACTATGCTATCACCACAGCTCATATAAATGTCACGAAAGACCTATCCAGAGGTCACAAAGACCCCGGTAACTATCCAGAGGTCATAAAGATCCTCGGTAACTGTCCAGAGGTCATAAAGATCCTCGGTAACTGTCCATAGGTCCCGAAGAACCTAGGTAAACTGTCCATATGTCTCGAAAGACATAGGTAAACCCTCGACTCTTGGCATGCCAACTATACCCCTAGCTCTCATGACACATAACATGGGCATTATCTTTTATATCCTTTTACATATTCATGTAACCATATCATATATTCATATAAGCTCATGGTTTCATTCACATATGCATGTAATCACGTAGTTCATGCCAATTCTCATATGAGTTCATATTCATATAAACATAGGATTCACCCTCATGTATCACATATACTTTCTCTTTCATATGGCTCATAACATTTCTCATGTGTTCATATGACATGTAAATCATTGTCATCTTATCATGTTATCACATAAACATATCATCTTATAATACATACAAAACACATCAATACCTATATTCACATATACCTATCATTTCATTATCCTTATTATTATTCTTATCATCACCATTAATCCCTTTTACTTACCATATTCATATCAATAACAAATACATACTTCTATGAGTTCATGTTTTTCACTATTGGAAATAGACTTATCACAAGTCTTATTTTCCCTTGAACCTCATATACTAGAGAAGGTGCACTCACCTTAGCTTTGCTTTGATTCGATTATAATCCTTCAATTGATCCGGAACGGGATCACGTTCTATATCTACATCATCATACATAAATCTATATTAGTATTATAACTAATATACTCTAATGGTTCACTCTTTAGACTAAGAGAAAAGACAATTTCATCTTTTAATGAAGGTATGCATCGATGCACTACTGATGCATTGGTGCATAAAATGCATTCGATGTTTGTTTATTACTGGGATGCATCGATGCATGCCTTATGCATCGATGCACTAATTGCATTCGATGTTTCCTTATTAAT